AATGGCTTTGAATCATGTAGAACTAGGCAAGTAGATGTTATGAACTCTCAACAAATTGTTTGCAGTATCCAGGGCTTCTTTCACAATATTTTAGAATTGCTATGTGGTTAGAGAGTTAGTTCCAAAGAATGCTGAAAATGTACTTCAGCGTGCTAATTCAATATTGAAATGCTAATGACTCTTCATGCTTTTAATACCATTGATGGATAAATTTGCGTCAGCTCTCACATTACCATTTGCAGTAAGCTAATTCTGTACCCTGAATAGAATAACTCAGTAGTAGGTGTTGTACATGATTATTACTAGGAGTCAAGAGTAACCTGCTTATGATAACTTATAGGACCTCTACCATGGAAACAACTATTTTCTAATTGATCTGTTCCATCTTACTAGTTCTGATCATTTTTCTTGTATTAAAGAAACAATACCAGTAATTTCTCCTGCATTCCCTCCTCACAACAACCAAGACGGTGCCATAGTGGTAATGCAGAACTCTAGCTTAATAGAGGACATAGGTTCAAATCCCACCATGTCAGATGGTGAAATTTGAATTCAGTAAAAAATCTGGAATTAAAAACTAACCTAATGGTCACCATGAAACCATGCCAGTTGTCCTAAAAAGCATGTGGTTCACTAATATCCTTTAGGGAAGGACATCTGTCTTCACCTGGTTTGGCAATTGCAGACCCATAGCGAATGTGGTTGAGACTCTGCTGCCTCTGAAATGGCATTGAGACAAATCGGTTCAAGGGCAACACGGGACGGATGACAACTCTGGCTTTGCCAGCGACACCTGTGTCCTATGCAAGAATAAAGAAAAAAAAATTCTTAACCAGGGGAATAGACAAGCAATCTACTTTGCTCTGAGCTTCTGACTCCAGATATGCCTTCTCGAAAATTGTAGGCACCAGTCTGTTACCTACCAATCTGTAAGACATGATGTTAATACTGAACCTCCCATAATTTTTTGCTTGGTACTAAGTCATTCTGCATAGTACATCACTGACAAAGGTTATTTTGATATTAAAAAGGCAATTATCAAATAGATAAATGCCTGGCTTTTGTTTATCAAATGCATTTTTTCAGATTATGCTGTTAATCCTATCGAATTTTATCTTCATCTTTTCTTGCCTTTCTCTAAGATCCCATCGCCTGAAACTGTGTCTCCCTCCTTTTATTCCTTCCCTCCACCCTGACTCCTTTTCCAAGATTTGGAAAGGTAGTAGTGGTGGTGAAGACTCAAAAATTCATCTCCAACCTCTTCAGGTGATCACAACCGGTTCAGAAGACCACATTGATCATGCTTAACTTAATCTTTAAATGATTTTTGCTCTCACTGGCCCAGCCAAGAACTACTTCATTTCCCTTTTGAGGCACAAAGTTTACTGTCACTAACAATACAAGCTCTTCACACAATCCAGAGGTTTAGTCCTCTCTGGGCAAAGTAGAAACTGTCTATCATCTACCTTATTCCTGCTCTTGTCAGTCATGGCTCACTTGGAATCACTTTACCTTTGAGTTACAAGATTGTGGATTTGAGTCCTCCTCCCGACCTGAACACAAGTATCCAGGCTGATACTCCAGTACTGAAGGACTACTGCATTATTGGAGGTGTCATTTTTCAGATGAGCTGTTGGACTATGCTTCCATCTACTTTCTGAGGTGGACATAAAAGATCCCAATATTTTGAAGAAGAGCATGGAAGTTATCACTAGTGTTCTAGCCAATATATATCTATCAACAAATATTACAAAAACAGATGATCTGGACACTATCATATTGCTTTTGTGACAGCTCACTGTTCAGAAATTAGCTGCCCGGTTTCGATTACAACAGAGACTATACTTCAAAAATATTTACTTGTCTGTAAAGAACTTTGGAGCATTCTAAAGTCATGAAAGGCATCGTAGAAACATAAACCTTTTCCCTCATGTGTAGTTTACCAACGTGCCCATTGGCCCCCCCTACTCTGTCAAACTATCTATTAGTAACCTTCTTGATATTTTATATACATCTATCCAGTCCCTTCTAAATCTGCTCTTGTCGTTTTTAATCTCAGTTAATTTGCAAGGACTCAGCCAGGAATTAATAGTAATAGGCACAAACTTTGAACAAAACATACGTTGCCAAGGTAAATATAATAAAACTCCTCCAATCATTACCCTCTGTTGATTTTAAAAGTACAGTTCTCGGAATTGATAACGCCTTAACTAAGCAGAAAGAAAGTGAGAACAACCCATTATGAAACTTTGAATTGAATGAAGCAGCCACACAGGTGAGGCCTATCTCTCCAGTGAGATTTTAAACTGTGTTTTCTGAAAAATCTCATTGCACTTTCAAAGAAGAAAAAGAGAGTGCTCCCCGATGTCCTGGTGAACATTTATCCCTTAATCCTACTTTTTTTTAATTTAATTAACCGATCTTTCTGATCAGTCCGTTTGTTGATGTTATTACACATGTCTGGAGCAGGTGGGACTTGAACCCAGGCCTCTCTGGTCCAGTGGTACGACCACTCTGCCACAAGAGAGCCCCAAAATGAACTTGAATTCCAGCAAGGTGGGAATCGAACTCAGGCCCCCAGAATACAACTGGAGCTCTGGAATAACAAGCCAGCAGGCCATCACCTCCCCCAAATTCATTTTTTCTTTCTTATATATGTGTATTTTCTAATCAACCTATTCAGAGAAGTTATGACACAAACACAGGAGCAGGTGGGTCTTGAAACCCAGGTCTGCTGGCTCAGAGGTAGGGAGACTATCACTGGACCACAAGAGCCCTTCTTAACCCAACTCTTCTAGTTTTTTTCTAATAAACCTGTTCAGTGATGTTATTACACACCTCTGGAGCAGGTGGGACTTGAACCCGGGCCTCCCAATCCATGGGTAGGGACACTACCACTGTACCACAGGAGCCCTTCTTAACCCAACTTTGAAATAGACCATCTGATTATTATCAGCTGTTTGCAAACTTGTACACAGATTGGCTGCTGTGTTTCCTGTGTTACAACAGTGACGACTACAGTAAATACCTCATTGGCTGTGAAGTGGTTTGGACATTCTGAGATTGTTAAAAGTGCAATGCAAGCCTTTCTCTTTGCTCCCGAGTACTCTACTCACAATTGGCTGCTCAATGAGCAGTGGTAATTGCACACTTACCTGTTCCAGAAAAGATGATATCATCTAAGTAGATTATTTCATCTATGATAAAACAGCTGAAAAATACAGCTGGGGTAGATGTAAATAAACACTCACTGAACTGGTGCATGCTTTCATTCAGTGCCTATACTAGAAATATAATGGTGATAATTGTATTGAGTTTTTGATTATGTGCATGTTATGAAGGTTACTTCATCCTCATCCTCCAGTAGACTAGAATCCATAAGTACAAATTAGAAAGCCAACCTCCTCGCAAAAATCTACAAGATCTAGCAGAATGCTTCCAAGGCCCTACACCCTTTTCCCTACCAAACCCATCCACACTGTATCCCATATCTCCTTTTCGATCCAACACAAGACATCATCTGCCTACTTCCTCCCACCACACCTGCACTGATGTCCACTCCAAAGTTCCTTTCTTAGCAGCGTATGTTACAGTACCTTCCACATCACCTCCTCCCTCCTAATGCTAGCAACTACTTCCAAAATATTTTGACCTCTGTCTTTGAATAATTCAGTTGGAAAATTGAAGATAGAAATTAAGTACCTGTACAACAGCAAAGAGTCAGAATATTGGGAGAGATGTAGATGGAGGAGGAAACTGTGAATATGATCCAGAAAGAATGAACAGCAAGAGAGAGACAAGAAAAATGTGGAAAACAAACGGAAAGAAATAGAAAAGGAATGAAGGGGAAGGAAGAATAGAAACAATTTCAGGAAAAGTGCATACTTTACTGCCCTGAAATCAGCTAGTATATTGCGTAAACAAAAATGTAATTTCTCTCTCAGTGCCAGGGACCTGAGTTCGATTCCAGCTTTGGGCAACTGTGTGGACTTTGCACATTCTCCTCGTGGGTTTCCTCCAGGTGCTCCAGTTCCCTCCCACAGTCCAAAGATGTGCAGGTTAGGTGGATTGGCCGTGTTAAATTCACATTGTGTCCAGGAATGTGCAGGTTAGGTGGGTTAGCTATGGGAAATACAGGGTTACAGTAATAGGGTAGGGGTCTGGGTGGGATGCTGTTTGGAGGATTGGTGTGGACTCAATGAGCTGAATGGCCTGCTTCCACACTGTAGGGATTCTATTCTCTGTAAATGGCTGGAGAAACTCAGCAAGTCTGGCAGCATCTGTGTAGAGAGAAGTGGAGTTAACATTTTGAGGCCAGCGACCTCTCTTCAGAACTACATCCACAGTTCTTTGTTTTATTTTAGTATATAACGTCACTTATATTTATCCTAAATGCTGAGGAATGTTACTCCATATAAATAATGAACTAAATTAGATTCATGTAAGCTAATGGTAAATGTGTAAATTGCAATGATTGAACATTGAAGGTCTTATTGGCTTGGGTAGTATCAGATTGGGTAGAATAAGGTATATCAAGGTTTGTATAAAACAAGGTGGACTGCGCTGTTAGTTGCAATGTAAGGAAAAAAATCAAAAGACTTGATAAAATTTTGCATGTCTTTGCATTGCTAGGAATTCACTGGTATCAGGATTGCATAGATGTGGGTTATACAGGATTATAAAAAATCTGTTATTGTTTAGCTGTCTCCAAGCAACCTTTCATAATATTAGCTCACAGTCACACTGTAAATGGTACTGTGAAGTAGTGTCATACACATTCTTTGTTTTAATCTGCCACAGCCAACTTTTCAGTTCAAGTTATTTTTGAGTCATGAATTCTGCATGGATGTGTTATGCATAGTAGCAGGCTCTGATCATTAGCTTAGTTTTTTTAAGTTGATAACTAACATGAATATGTATGTTAAAATAATACTGCTGTCTGGTATTTGCAACCGTAATTCAAAGCAAAGCCAAGGCAACAATTGCTGTCTTAATTGCAGGGTGCTGGTATGCACAAATGAGCACTTGTTGAGGGAGCTGAATGAAACGCGAGCAAGACACAAAGCAGAAGTCGACCAGTTGCATTGGAGCTACATTCAACTGAAAAAAACCATGGAGCCATCTCCCCGCAGTATGACTGCTTCAGCATCTGGCTGCATGCCATTGGGCAGAGAGATTAAAAGCCACATGGAGTTAGAATATCAAAAACGCTGAAGGAAATTTCCCAGAAAAACCGAAAAGAATCAATGACAAAAACCCTGTGTGATTTCATGCTGCTTATTGAAAGCACCACTCTTTTTCTATCAATACAAGACTTACTGATGAATAGAGATGTGTCAAACTTGTCTGCTGTCTGTGCAAACGATAGTATTTTTACAATTTTAACTAATTTAATGTTGGTTCAGCATTTTGCAATTTCTCAATTCTTTTGCTAGTTTTCCCTTCCACTTAGTTCCAAATGCCCTGAAGTTTGAAAGTAGTCCTCCAGAAGCCAATTACATATTTAATTGCTTAAAATATACTTTTACTTGTCTCTCCCTGAATAAGCAAGTGCAGAACCTCTCAGTCTGGGCTTCTAATAGTTCACTAAACAAACAAATAGTTTGAAATCATGCCATGTAACTTTCCCTGTATTTGGTCTCCCTCAATGTGCAATGTTATATTGCTTTCATTCTCTGCAGCCTGCACATTTGAATCTAGAGTTAGGAAACTAATCTACGGCATTAGTAAGTTGAAACCTTTGTTTGGAAAAATCTCTGCTTTTATTAAGACTACTAAACGTTTTAAAATAGGTCAGCATTAAGAAAATTTACTACTAACTTTGTAGAATATGAAAGAACAATTCTGTGTCTTGAAATGCAAGACAAATATTAATATTTTACAATTCACTGGATATTTCAATATATATGGGTATTCATGTGGTTTAGGTAGGTTGTTAGTTTGCAGAAATGAGCTGAAAGCTTCTTCCTAAATTCCTGATTCAAATAAAAATTCCACTGTTTTATTCAATTATGCACCTGTATGAAGATATGCATTTTTAAGAGAAGCAAGAAAACTCAAAGATTTGTGTTAATATTAAAGGGCAGGTGGAACAGGCAGTTTGAGAATTTTTTGATGTGCATTCTAACTATAAAAAAGAAGCTCCTATTCTTGTACTTTTGAGATGTAAACTAATTTTCTTAAAATTTTTATTTCCCTGTCTATGGTGGCTTTCCTCTTCGGTGGACCATCTACAGCCAATGACAGATGACTCCGCCTCTGGTTCCACACTTTTGTCAAAACCACGCAAAGCATAAATACTGAGGTTAAGCAAACCCCCTTTCTATGGCAACATCCTAGCTAACTCAGTTAATCTTCCTATGAGTCCTGCTGTTCTTATTATGCTCCTGCAGCAGTTTCTAGCTAACATATTGCCTTTCTAAAGGCGTTTGTGGCGAACTCTCATTACGCCTCCCCTTGACTCCAATCTGTTTACAAAAGGAGTTTCCAATTAACTCTTTGCTCTGCCTTTCTCTGTCATCTGGTCCACTGTTTAATAGTGAGACTGCTTATCTGGCAACCATCAGTAGATGAACAGAAATTTTCTCCAATTAAATATTTGGAATACCAAAGCCATTGCTTTCGGTTCCCCATTCAAACTCTATTCTCTATCTACCAAACCAATCCTTCTCCCGGGAAACGGTGTAAGTTTAAAAGACATTCTGTTCTCAACCTTGGTGTCACATTTGACCAAGAGATAAGTTTCTGAAGACACATTTAAAACTGCTTATTTCCACCATTAATCTAGGTCAATGATCCCTGCCTCAGTTTATCTGCAACTGAAAACCTCATTTATTACCTCTAGACATGGCTACTCCAACACATCCTGGCAGATCTCCTACATCTACCCTATGTAAACATGAAGTCATCCAAAAATCTGCGCCCTTGACAACTCAACCAAGTCTCATTCACCTGTCACCCCTGTTGTTGCTACTTATATCGATCAGATCCTGCTTAAGCAATGTTTTGGTGTTAAAATTGTGAACCTTTTTTTTAAATCCTCCAGGGTCTCATTGCTGTTTATCTGCAGCCTCCTCCAGTTCCACAACTCTTTGAGATATCTATGTTCATCAGTTTGGGCCTCTTGAGCATCCCTGATGTTAATTGCTCCACAGTTGGATGCAGTGCTTTCAGCTGCCTAAGCCCTGAGCCTTGGAATTCCCTCCTTACATCTTTCCTGCCTCTCTACATCCCACTCCTCATTTAAAATGCTCCTGAAAACCTACCATTTTGACCAAGCTTTTGAATATGTGTTCCCAATATTTTATGTGGCTGATGTCTTTTTTTGTTTTATAAAGCTCCTGTGATGTTACTTGAGATGTTTTATGTTTAAGGCACCTTATATGTTATTCTTGTAGGAAATTTCAACTAATTCATCACCTTTTAAAGTTTTCTAGCTCACTCTCACCATCTTTTCACATGAGCCACTAGCTAACTTCCAACGTTCCTATTAAAGCTTCTGCCTAACTGTCATCACAATGACAGAAAGCCCAAAGGTCAATTAAGGAATGGAACTGGCAGCCCACAAGTTGTGTTTGGCTCTCATAGCTACTTTATTTGCTTCCTTTCTGCAAGCAAATAAGCTGATTGATGTGAGGGAGATCATAGGAGTAGCAGCAAAGAATGATGTGCCACAGCTGTCGTATGCTGTCATAGTTTATGCACATCAAATTCCTTCTCTGTAATTACTGTAGATTGTGTGAACAGAGAACATGGACTGCTTAAGAGATAGAGAGAAACTAAGAGCTGGTCTTCTCCTGTTTTCATCCAATTCTCAATGACTAATTATAATGCGCTATCAATAGAAGTCAGTGCACCTACTAAATTCGTACGTGGGTTGGATATAGAGTGCAGGGAATAATCCAATACAAGCTTGCAGGGAAAAGAAATCTGTGGTCAGAGAATTACCTCTAAGTTAAAAATCACACTGTTACCATGCATGTATTTTTCCCAACAAACTATTTGTCAAGCAACGTCCACTTGCTTCTATCTCTCTGCTTTTCATTTGATGACATGTACATTTCTAATGAAAACTAGCCCTTATTCTGAAACCTGTCTCTGTTTAATTGAGTCCAGCATTCAGCTACCCAATGGTATTTAAAAGCAACACCATAAAATAATTCCCAAAATGTTATTCTTACAGAAATGTCATTCCAAAGTGGAGCATTTCAATTTGAATATATCATTGTGGAAAAGTTTCTGAAAGTCAGTATACACTTAGGTCCAGTGACAATAAGCTAGTTATTATTTATAAATCCCTTTCCCTCAATGTTGTGTTGTTGACTTTGGATGCACTGAAGCATCCTGATCTAATGATACAGATAAATCACATTTGTCTTCTACTCGTTCCAGGTGTTACATATCTAGTTCTGGATTAGATACAATTTTGGTAAATTGAAAAATGGCTCGATATTTTTTCAACAAGTTTCCACCTGGCCTAAAGACTTTGGAAGTAGCTGTTTTGTATTTGTTTATTTAATGATTTTTTTTTCCAATGATTAATTTGTCAACAGTTGAAATAATGTAAGAGTATTGCTGTGAGATTTGTATTGGGGTGAAGGATCTGTGATGTTTGCTTTTCAGTGTGATGAAAATAATTTGAATCTGTGCAAAGAAAATCTGTGGGAGAGCAGATTCCAGTTTCAAGGAATTTACAATCCAGTCATTTAGGACCCTCTTTTATAAGTATGGAATTTTAATGTGTTGAATCATAGTTAGTAGATTAACTGTTTCTATCCCAGGGTAAAATTCAAAAGGCTTGACCATTGTCTATACAAATTCGGAAAGCTTTGCAACATTGAACTGTTATAATAAATAGAGTACTGGTACTACTGGCTAAGATTTGCTGGGCAAATACAGGGTTTTTAAATTATTTATTTCATATTTTTGCACACATTTGTCTTTTGAGAAATACTGGGCAAGCGTTGAAAAGGTTAGCTGGCTGATGATCAATCGGTTGAATCTCATTGTGAGTCTCTTTCCTTAATCAACCAGTCCTGGAATAGATCTTTGAAGCTAGAATTTCTAGATCAGAGATAGGGGCACCAACAACTGAGCCACAATACCAAAAGCAGCCTCGTATAAATGATGCACCTAGTGACAATAAATTACTATAACTATTAATTACTATTACCTGCCCTAGCATTGTTTTAAAAGCTGTCTTAACATTGGACCTACTTTGAGATTGTTAATTGTAAAGTTCCAGGAGTTTCACTTTTAATTGTTCAGCAGTACAGAACTTTACTGTTGAAAAAGTACACATTTTGCCAAAGCTTTTTGTTTTGCACTTATCAGGATAACTGACAAGAGTACAAATTAGAGGAAAAACCCAATTTATATTGCATAAGAGGAGAGTGCTGATTGGTTGCCAAGTGGGTTCTGATTAGTTGAGCCTTTGGCATTAAAAATGCACCAATCAATGATGATTTACAATTAACGTCAACATAGTTTAAATGTTAAACCAGGCGATTGAGTTGGATTGGTTAAGGATTGACCTGAGAAATGAATCTATAAATGACTCACCTAGATGGTTTGCTAAAACAGTTTGAAGCTTTTGTTCTAAATCTCATTTGCAAGAACTTTGGTGCCCTGAAGCCCAATTCAGAATCCATTTATTCCATAAAATAAGATGGTTAGGGTTAGATTACAAAGTGTATGTTCAAAGCTCCTTAGTGCCTCCATTGGGAAAGCTTCATTTTTTAAAAAATAACTGGGGAAATTGAGTATTTTCTCTGGTTCTCAGCGCAAGAGCAGCAAATTTGGAAAACTGGCTACATCCACATGTAGCTGCTTCAAAGTCAGGATAACTTGAATGCCTGTCCTGATCTCAGATCCATTAGGACTTCTTGATGCTTCCAGTAGCAGACTAACAGAGGAAAGTGAGACTGTTAATGTAATCACATATTTATATGTCAGAAAGACACTTAGCCAGCAGATGAACATAGAGGGTACATCTCTTTAAGTATTCACAAGTTGTTTCCTTTTTATAATAAAAGAAATAATTACTATTTATATTTGTAGACATATTGATTTTTTAAGTTTATGAATATCGTTTTGACTGAGATATGTATGTTTTTATAAACTAAATTAAATGTTCTTATGGAATGGTATTTATGATATTAAGTGTTTGATTCATCCCAAGTCTATTCATTGACACCTCTGAGTCAAACCCAAGTGGAGAGATTGAGCTGCTGCATTAAAGGAGCACCTAGTTACACATTTTGACTGGCCAAGCTGTAATACAACAGCACACACCAGTCTCCACCTCCAGGCTTTGGTGTAGCTAAGAGCCCCTGTTAGGTTTTCAGGTTAATTTTATCCACTTCACAGGTTTCCCCACTCCAAATATCTGGAAGCTCTGCCTGTGCTACCCCTCAATTGGATACTGTAATACAAGTAAGATATCTACTTGGGATAAAAGGATTGCCCTTTGAGGAAAGATTGAATCTATATTCCCTAGAATTTAGAAGAATGATCTCCTTGAAAAATAGGGTAGATACTGATGGGGAAATCTAGAACAAAGAACATGGCTGGATTTTTGCTATCAAAGCAGAAACCTCAAGTCAGGAAATACTCTGACTTGGCAGATTGATCCCCATAAAAACTGCATGCATGATTTTCACTCCAGAGCGTGGAGATGACTACAGAGGCAAGCAAATGTCAAGAGGCCCCAGTTAGAAAATCTGCTGCTTCTCTGAGTTAGACTTGTTAGTATAAAATGCTGTTGGGCCTTCTAGTCACCATCCCTCTCTAATGCCACCTCATATTCCCCATTTGACTTTCATAGCCAACCACTCAGTATCTATGTGAAGATGAAAAGAAAATGAACCCAGTCATACACAATGGTATTGAAAAACATTTCATAAAGCCCATTAAAGAATTTTAAATCTCTCACAAGCAATGAGGGGCCTATTTGTATGCATTAACATCTTATTAGTACCCAATTTTACCTCATTTAAATGCAGGTTGTTATTCTCCCAGGTACCAGTGAGAAACTAGATAGTGCTTATTCCCAACAGAATAGTGGCTATAGCTCGCCAGATCTATTCAGGGCCTTTATGTTGGCCAACATTCTCCAGCATCTCAGTCCTTGGGTGGCAACTGCATGTGCCCTCTATCTATAGACATTGGCATTGGCAAATGATCAGTCTCCCCACATCATGCCACATCTTGGGCTAAATTATAATTATATTCAGTCCTGTGTTTCCTTAGGTGCTCACAGTCTCTTTGCCTTGCCTTTGAAAACATTACTTCATTTAGCATCTACAAGCTTACAGTAGTTCTGTCTTGCTTTGGACAGTCAAGGAAGAAGACATGTTGTTCTGAAGGGCCAACATTAATGGTTTTCTCTCCAACGATGCTGTCAGACCAGCAATTTGTTTTTGTTTCAGATTTCCAGCATTCGCTGTTCTTTGCTTTTGTGTTGTTTTACAGTACAGGACTACATCAATGTCACATCTACTGCATGTTCCAGCAGTTTACTCATTAAACACATTGAATTTTCTTCAACCAGCTGACCATGTCTCAAGGTATACAGGGAGTAGTCCTTAATCTGGTCAAGGTTAATGGTCAGGGGTGCTGCCATATTTAATTCAGGGCATCTGCTGATCTTAGTTCAGGATGTCAGCCAAATTCCTAATTCGCAAAAAACATTTCAAAGTTCTCATTACCTGTACAAGGTTGCCCTGTACTAGAGCCTGTTGACTTTGAAGGTTTCGATGGATGGCCTCACGGAGTTTTTATGGCTCAAGGGTCCAGTCATGGTGAGCATGTCCTGGCCTGATGCAGGCTTGCCCTCCTTGCCTGTAACTTGCACAGGGTTGGTGCTCACTGTCTGGGTGGAGATGGAGGAGCTGGGCACCATGGGACAGTCCTGAGAGGAGACTTCTGGGAGGCTGTGTGTGGGGTCCCTCTACCTTTTAGATGCCTGTAGGCACCACCCTGTCTCCTTCAGAGGAAAGGACATCTGGAGTAAGGTCAAGATCCTTCATTCTCTGGTTGCCTTGCCAACAAACACAAAAGGCTAAAGTATTGAAGTGCAGGTACACGTGACTCTGACAGCCATTGGGCTTTAAGCTGAATTTAGCTTTCTATGACAGCTGCCAATGTATCCATGCTGACAGCCAGCCAGAGACACACATACCAAGTCAGCATGGTACTGATAATGCGGACTACTCCAACCCTCCGTCAAGTTTACCAAGTGCCTCAGACAAACCTGCCAGACAAACAAGCCCTGTGTGTTTATGTGTTGGTAAGGGTGAGATCAGTACAGCACAACACAATCAATCAGTCTTAGTTGTTGGCACTTGGAGGTCTCTGCATCACCATTATAATGGAGATATTAAAACACACTTCTGGAGCAGGTGGGACTTGAACCTGGGTCTCCTGGGCTGGAACCTCTGTTGCACAAGATCCCCAATTACGATTATAGATTGAGTTTGAAAGAGCAAATCTAAACATTGACTACCACTCCTGATTAATGATAAGAAAGTTGCCAGGTATAAAGTATATTGTCACAAGATTTCCAGTTTGTATTAAATTTATCACAAGTACTAAAGAAACAAAACTTAAGAAAAGCAGTGATTTTTTTTGAGTTGATCCACTTCAGAACATCAGATCTTGACAATGGTTGGTTGACATTCTCCTTGTGTCTTTGGTCTTCTTTCTTGCCCATCGAACCACTAAGAATCGCTACTAAGCCTTGCTACGCACTAGCCCCATGTGCGTGATCAGAGACAACCTGAACTCTATTGGCTTGGTCAGCACATGATCAGTCTCTGACTAGCTTAACAGTATGTTCCCTAATCCCCATTGGTTTCTTTAAAAGTATTGGTCATCTCAGTGGCATCCCTTTCTCTTGGCTCCTAATTAACTTCTTAAAATGTCCATCACTTTTTCGATTCATCCTTTGTATAACAGCTTGTCTCTCAACTTACTAACTCCTTGGATCTTCATCTGGATGATGTGGCACCAGTGAAGCCATTTAGGTATCCACCTAGAGTACACAATGTCACTTCTTGGTAATTTAATATCATTTCAAACATGCCAACTAAATACTGCAATCAGGAAAATTCCAAAATAAAAGAACGCTGTGTGACTCCATAATAATTGTTAACACCTAAACCAAATTAAGGCTAAAAATAACCACATGAGATAAATATACACAGGCCTGTTACATACTTTGTTATGAAACAAAACTTTTAAAACATAGCTGTGTCTCAAGTAAAATTTGGCTCTACTTTACAAGCACCTGTTCATTTGTCCTGTGATTAGTAAACTGTAACCTACATCTCTTCAGTGCAATATTTATGTTAACTTGAGCCATTAAACATCAAAGAACTGTGAACTAATGACCTTACTGTTAACCGGGTCATATGGCTTTTTTCCTTACAGCAAGCATTTCACAACTATCCAACAATTAAAGAGTATAATGTAATTCCTCGCTGATTAATCAAGCCAAAATTATTAGTTATTGAAAAATAATTCAATCCTACAAGATTATCCAATCTTTCCTCCTGAATAGAATTCTGACAATGTCTTCATAAATTTACCTGTAACTTCTCTGGTGTGATCACATTTTGTGGTGTAATGTGGTGACAGCATTGGTGTAGTGCCAAGGCCTAACTAGTGTCTTACACATATTTGTGCATATCCTTCCTGCTCCTCCATACTTTGTCTCAGCTAATAAAGAAAAATATGCCTTGTTAACTACATGTCCTGCTATGTTTGGGGATCAATGGACATGCACTCTACGTTTGCTATTTATCTACACTTTTCTGTATCCTACTGTTTAACGTGTAGTGTCCTGAAGCAACTGTCCAATTCAGAACTTTACCTCAGAGATGACTCACAACAGGACAGTGAAAAGACTTTTAAGGGTGTCCTCAAAGTATTCCCGAAGAGATCATATATCCCCAACGTATATAATTCTCTACCTTTTGAAAGACCAAACTGGAGAAGGTTCATTCAGAAAAGCAGCAAACACATTGAAAAACTTAATTGGGAGCATGCATAGGCATTGGAGAAAGTGCACAACCTTCCAGACACCTCACCTACCACCCAACAAATCAAGCACCTGTAATTCATGTTGCCAAGCCTGCAGATTGTGCATTGGAACTTAACAGGCATCTGAGAACCCAGGGAAGTCAAGTGGAAGAAAGTCACCCTTGATCCTGAGAGGCTAAGAAGAGCAGATTCACTTGTCTTGTTTTCCCACTTCAATGCACATCTGTAAAATATACTCACAGATTGCTGCCAATATGAATTAAACTGCCAAATCTCCAGATTACCATACCAACCCTACTAAACAGATACTGCATGCATCATGACAGGTTAAAACTATGAGAATTTTGCCTTTATTTTCTTCCAGGAATGATTTTTAAAAAATTGAAAAGCAAATCTATACAAATATAACGGATAGAATACTGTTCTACTTCTAAATTATTATAGTTATGCCAAGAGTACAATTGATGAAAATAATTACATAGCACCCTCATCGCTTTGCAAATAGATTTTATTTCATTATCATTCTTACAAAATTTAGTCAGTCTAGCTTTACAATGTGACAACATTTGACAGCCTCTGATACATAGATGGAGCGAGCAATGTAGAAAAATAAGAGTGTAATTCTATAGAGAAAGAACTATTCACAACACCCATAGCTTCCTCTGAGCCCTCTTGACCTTCAGACCACATATGTCCTTTCCACTGCAGTTTAGTGAAGGAGGAACAGAATACTGATTAAAGTGCTTGGCCTCGGGCAATATGTACAATGGAAAGCTTAAGGCTACAATTGCAATTCTTGATTTGTTATCAAGCATTAATTGAGAGATATTTAGACGGTTGGATTGTAATAAAACAGCAAATTAAATCTACAGTGCATATTAGACCACAAGTCAGAAACTAACCCAAATTCAACAAAACCGCAAATATCAGCAGTATATCCTAAGTGCCTTGGTAACCATTGAAGAAGCAGCAATTAGCTGTGCTGTGAATAGTAACGACCTTATAGTAAAGTGCACAATCTGAACTATATTTATATATTGGTAGGAGTCAGGATTTGCTAGGTTAAAAATTTACTAAGCTTAAAGGTATACATTAAGTAATTAATTTTAGAGTGTGATCCAATTAATGATAAAGATGTCAGTTTTAATGGAACAATGATCAATACTGAGGATTATTCGACGTGGAATTTTTAATGCAGTTACTACTGCATTGTAGGCCTGTGCATTGCTGAGATTGGCTATTTACATACAAATTATATATTTGATTTCAGCATAACTAATCAACACAGAACAATGTTTGAAGCCTTTTACGAAGTATCACAACACACTGAAATCTCTATATTTCTGCTGCATTTCATTCTTTTTACCCTGCGTGCTGAATTTTCTTTTGTACAATAAAAATTTTGAAGATATTTTGTCTCATGTTAGCACCATAGACCCCCTGTTACTCGATCAAATGGTAGCCCAGACATTCCTGCCACATTGGGACAAGTTGAGCCAGTTCTTCAAAACTGCGATACCTCCACTGCAGAGGAAACTTGCCTTTTGGCAACGAGACCTTTAATTCCTCCCAGGCAACTGTTGGAGGAATAGTAACAGCTATGGAAAAACTCATGGATTGAATGTGTCATCCAAAGAAGATTGAGGACAAAAAACAGTAGATGTAAGAGAAAATAGGAGATTGAAAGAAGACATCTGACTGAGCAGAACATCATACTTCATTTTAACTAATATTTAAAATTTTGGGCCATGGTTCAAAAGGATAACCTTCATCTTTGGAAATGTCAAAGAACGGTGGTTAGGTAAGAAGTGCTCCCAAGCTGTGTGTGATGGAATGTGCAGTCCACTCCTGCAAACTCTCTGTATCACAATAAAACTTATTTTCAGCTGATAAGGAATACTGGCTGCTTGTTCTTTTGTACATATTATGAGCAGTTCACAACAGCACAGAAGCAACTGGTTAGACTTTGACCAACCCAACATAAAACTTTGAAATCATAGCCATGATTCCTTGTTATTAAAGTGTCAATTAAAGTCTTCGCATATATAACTCTTCATTCAATGCTCCCCCCGATATCTCATTTATAAACTGGGCTCTGCCTGTGCACTTACATGATATCAAAGGTGAAGTCTTTGGAAGGGAATCAGCTAAAACTTTCATTCATTCATTTGTTGTCTTTGCAGCTATGGCAGGCCCATTCCACACAATGCAAAATCAATCTTCTGAAGTGTACAGAGAGTATAATTCACTGAGATACTCTTAAGCAGCTCTTAGCTTAAGAATAGAAGGCAGCTTTACTGGAATACAATAAAAGTGGAATGGAATGTGCTGGGAACAAAGAAGGTGACTAAGTGCCAGTTTCCAATCCCTCATTAGAGCAGAGTGAGGCAAGAATGCATTATACAAGGTCCACCACTACCACATTCATAATGGCAGTTATACATTCTATTCCCTTGAACAGAATCATCAGTCAATAAATGTCTCTCTTGAAACCTAAGGAAGTGTGCCAATTGTACATTTTTAGAAGCAGAATCGAGTTCAGGATTTAACAGATTCTACATTGTTACAATCAAAACTGAACTGGGTCTAGAGAAAAAGAGTAAGACAATTCCTATCTATGTTGCACAACAAAACAGTGTAATTGTTTTGACAGAGGATGATGTTATGTCAGCTTAGTCACTCACTTCTGCAAGGATACAGAAACATCAATCTCCACTCTTATTTTCTTTCAGAGTAAACGTTTCAGGATCCAACTGAGAATCATTACAACTGTTGAATGTCTTTTATCCCAATTCCATTGGCTGAAAGGTATTAGGATTTTGGCAAGTCTGTGATGCTACTGAGGGTGCGATTCATCTGCACCATCCTTGTTGGTTAACCCATCACTGACTGATCCATACCTTCAGATTGTTCAATGTTCTTCATGCACTACTTCAACATGCTGCCTGTCCCTGCCACCAACAACAAAAACCATTCAGTCACAGCAGTTCTTTGGTGCCTGCGAGTCACTTTTCAAGCTCACTTGTTTCGTTAGCTCCCATCCTGCTTTCTACAAAAGGCTGATCCTGGTGATTCTTTATACTTTAAGGTATTACTGAAGTTTTTGTTTGGGCTGGCAAAATGCTATTTGTGGCAGCTCAGTCAAAGGATCCCATCTCATTCATGTCGAACTCATCTTTCAGGAACACAACAGTTTATCTGTATTAGAAAACTGCGTATTGCTAAAGTGATGCCTGCAGGTGCCTTCTCACCAACAGCTTCTTTGCCATAATGCAATTTTCACAATTTTGTGGTGAGATTTTTCTTTTCCCACTGACCACCTAAATCAGAAGGACATTTTGTACAACAGGACTATCAAAGAGGACACACATTTATACCTGACATGTTGAGACTGACACTTCTTTGCCTCTTCCATTTTGGCATCTTTCCTTTGTCTTCATCTCCATTTAGCATTTTGAATGAGAATCCAGTCTTACAAGATATAGCTTGATGTTTCGTTACCAACTTTGAATGAGGATTTTATGAAACAGAGTACTTGGGCACCTGTCTCTGTCTTGTCAATTGCTGTAGGAAGAGGCATCTTGTAACGGAGGGATCTTTGGACCGAACGTAAGTTCCAGTTCTTAACACACAATTAGTTGAAAGCCATCCGAAGAAATGACAGTAATGCAGCAAGATGAACCTGTTCAAATGCTTATGACATTGAGCTATTCAGAGTTGTCCGTTCAAAGCTTGGTCCTCTGCTTAAGTGTCAAGGGCCATCAATGAAGGCTGGACTGCACTTGATTATCAAGAGCCATTCAAAAGTGACAATAATTTCCACAGTTGGTCAATGATGCTGGCAGGGTCTTGGGAGTATGGGTGGGGTTATGGCCTTTCTGAAATAAATGTGAATGATTTTTCGAACCAACTAGAAATGCTTTGAAATAAACAATAAACGATTTGAATTCCTACTTTTGATTTGTTCTGCCAAGGCGCATTGGAAGTAGATACATTCACAGTAATGGTGATATATATGTTGGAAAAGAATCTAATCATGTTTACTCCCTTTTACTTTCTGGTCATATGTGCCAGCGTGTTTGTATCCCACTACGTAGCCAGTATTTTGAACCAAGTACTCTCTGCCTTCTCTTCCTCGGCCTTTTCCGCTTTGATCAAACCTTTCCTTGTGGGAACCAGTGAACTTTGAGGTATCTGTAAGTCGTGATAATGTGGGAGATAGCACAGTTTTCTGCAGAGAAAACAATTAATTAAAACAACATTACACTTGATAAAATTACTTTTATGTACATAAAAGTTCATAAAGAAGCAAATTTAGATCTTACAAAATTATATAAGGGTGTCACCTTGCCTCAGTGGGCAGTATTGCCACTGAGTTAGGAGATTGCAGATTTAAGTCCCACACCAATCAATTAAGCACATAATCAAAGCTGTTGCTTCTGTGGAGACCTTCTGTGTTTCACATGAGACATTCAGTTGAGGCTCCTTCTGCTCTCTCAGATGACAGCACCAGGACAAAGCAGAAGGGCTGGTTCTCTCTGGTGTCCTAATAGTCAATATTCACCCCTCAACCAACATCATAAATAGATTATCCAGCCCACTATCTTATTGTTCATTCGAGGAACTGGCTGAGCAAAAATAGCTGCTATGTTTCTTCTACATTACATCAGTGACTACATTTCATTAGTACAGAATTGATTTTAAATTGTTTGAGAGCATCCTAAGGTCAAAGAAAAAGCTATATACATGCAGATCTTTATTCTTTTAGTTTCATGTTCAAAACAGCTAACTGTCCCAGTGGTTTGTCACTAGGAATCTATCCAGCATTTGGATTTTGCTTAGTCCAGCTGTCAATATGCTCAAATAGGTGTCTATATAATAACACCTTGCAGAACAATGCATCAAAACAAATCATGCAAGATTTATGATGAGGGGTCTGTTTGTGGACAACAAATTAACACTTTTGGCAAGCTTAGTGTAAAATCTGGATAGCATTAATAATAGCTACATAAAATGTGCTGCTGCATCTATAGAGATAAATTAGACATGCACAATAACACTTTGATAATGCAGGGAGCTTGAGCTAGAATATTTACACTCAGAATTCTTCGTAACCAAGTAATTACTTTGTGAAGTGCATTCACTGTCATTATGCAGGCAAACATAACTGATTGATGCTCAGTGAGATTGCACAAATAGCAAGAAGATTAATGCCCACTCTTCTTTAAACAGTTTCACTGGAATGTCTCCATCCATCTGAGCAGATAGACAGGATCCCAGCCTGACGTGTTTTCTGGAAGAGATACTTCTGACAATACAGCACTCATTCAATACTTTACTGACATGTCAGCCTGGATAATGGGTTGGTGTTGTGGTAGTGATTCTGATTTTGGACTAGTGATCCAAAGGCCTTGCTTAATAACAGATAACAACAGTTCAAATGTCTCCATGACAACTTGGATGACTTGTACTCAGCTTAAAAAGAAAGAAGTTTGGAATCAGTAAAAATGACCACAAAGAGCGTTATAAAACCTCAGCTAGTTTCAGGAAGGAAACGTGCTTCCCTCAACCAATCTGAGATATATGTGACTCCAGTCCCAATCCAATATGGACTGCCCTTTGAAGTCATCCAACAGTTGTCATCAAACTGCTGCAAGACCTTCTCAGGGCAATTAGGGGTGGACAATTAATTGGAATATAACAAGGGGGGTAAATTCAAACAGGAAGAGACTTTTTTCTGAAAATTGCACCCTATGGGGATGAAATCTCTTAGATCTCAGTTTCAATTAATTCAAAGTCTTAGTGTTTTTAATGTATTCAACCAAAGTAAAAGCTGTGAAATCCTGCTGTCACACATTGATCCACTATTTCAATAACTTTTGCAGGACAACCTTTGCTACTAAACCTTCCAGAGCACAGGCCACTCCTAATCCAGTGGCTGGGTTAATTCCTTTTTAAACAGGACACTGCCTGCCATGTAGTGGATGGTTGTGTTAAGTAGTGATGAGAAAACATACCGTTATCCCTGAAATGACAGGGGACTTCCCTTCAATTAACTTGTGAATCTCCTGGATTGCTTCTTCCTTGATCTTCCCTTTAAACCTCTTCTGTGCGAGCTCTTCAAGGGCATCCTTGAACTGGTGAAAGGTAATAGTCCTAAAGGATTTCGCCCTGGAACACAAAATCACAGCTATCAGAAATACACTGTAAAGAACGTTTCTTTTTGAACCTGCTCCTGTGATTTTCCTGTATGCACTGACCACGTGCAATCTCTTACAAAATTTACCTCACTCTAAAGCTCCTGAACGAACAGAAAGAATAAAACCTCTAGGCTTTCCAGTAGTACAGCCAACAATGTGTGCTTGAACTGTGATCGCTGTTGTCACCGTCAGGAGGAAATATGGTGGTCAATTTTTACATAGCAAGACCCCACAAACAGCAATGAAATGATGACAAGATTTACGACGCAGTTCGTGAAATGAAGACACAATCTGGGTCAAGTCAATAGGCGGAGGAGTCAGTGAATAAGAGGAGTCAATGGACAACCATTTCAGGAATATGCAGCACTTCCTGTCCTACATGTTTTGAGTTGCTGAGTCCAAGTTGATGAGCCCATTCCTGGCAGAACCCCTTCCCTCCCCTAAACCAAGTAGAAAGCAATGAGTTTCAGCCTTCTGCAATCTAATTTTATGCCTTTAACTCAAGTGCTTTCATTAAATGATTTGACCTTTAGTAACCCCAGGTTTTAGTTCAGGATTAGCTCCAAGAGTTAGCGGCCACTGTTCGTTTCGGAGATTATCAGTGCTTGCGTGTCTTCGAGCTGTCATATATTCCAGTGTTTGCAGCCCCTGTGCATTAGAGCTGTATTATATTCAAGGTATTAGCAGCCCCTGTGTATTAGAGCTGTCATATATTCCAAGAATTCATAGCCCCTGTGTATCAGAACTGTCACACATTCCAGGGATTAATCAATGCCTATGTGTATTATAGCTGTCATATATTCCAAGAATTAACAGCTCCTGTGTATTGGAGCTGTCTATGTTGCCTGGGGTTAGCAACGCCTATGTGTATTGGAATGGTAATATATTCTAGGGATTAGCAGGAATGTAGGAAATGCAACAGCTAACTGGTGTACAATAAACTGCCACAAACAGTAGGAAGGTAAATGATCAGACAATCTGCCTCAGCAGCATTGATTGAGGAGTAAATACTGGCCAGGCCATCAAGCAGAATCACCTGGTCTTTATTGAAATGCTATTGTGGGATCATTTATGTCCAACTGAGAGGGAAAACAGGATCTCAGTCTTACCTCTCATCGGAAAGAGATCATTTATCACAACAGAGCCCTCCTTCAGTACAGCACTAAAGTGCCAGCCAAGAAGTGTCTAAGAGTCAGGAGTGGGGCCATTAAACATGGCCAGTCAACAAAGCATGTTGTTCACTGTGAGACCTTGGATGGCAAAACAAATCAAAGCCAAAAAACAGCAATACAAACAAAATATGTTTTACTATCAATAGAAGGTGCCAAGCAGCACAATCAAAATGTGTGCTGTGAGGCACCGATGTTGAAAAAGCTCACTTGAGTTTCATTGAATCTTGCAACACACAGCAAGGCTCTTCAGCACATGCCTGCTCTTTAAGGGTGGGATCTTCCTAGTCCCATGGCAGCAGGTTTCCAGGCAGGACATTTGGCACTTGAGGCATGAGACCCAGAGGCTTGTCTTCAGCCAAGTTTAGCTGAAGTTAATGTCCAGTCGTGGACTGGATTGAGGCTATTGCTAGAACCTCCCTGGCAACAGACAGTCCCTCACACTAATGGGGGTCAAGCCTGTGGGTGCCTGAAGGTAGATTAGTTTGGGAGACTCGCAAGGCTTCCTCTGTGAGTCCGTCACCCATCACCTAACCTGGCAAAGCCACAATGGGCTGTAGCATCCTGGAGAGGTAGATTCACACAACTGTGGGCAGAGATTGTCTTCATTTAAACTTCATCACTTCAGAGAGTATCTCGAAATGGAGAAAGTTTCTCATTCTCCCCCTGCCCCAAAAGCCCAACGGTTGAATATTTTGGCTATTTCTCTGCTCTGTCCTTGGGTTTTTTTTTTAAAAAAGTATTTATTCAATTTCCTTTTTAAAAAACTTAGAGTTACAGAACTGTATAGCACGGAAACAGACCTTTTGGTCTAGCTCATCCATGCCGACCAGATATCCGAAATTAATCTAGTCCCATTTGCCAGCATTTGGCCCATATCCCTCTCGACCCTTCCTATTCATATACCCATCCAGATGTCTTTTAAATGTTGAATTTGTACCAGCCTCCACCACTTCCTCTGGCAGCTCATTCCATACACGCACCACCCTCCGTGTGAAAAAGTTGTCCCCCCTTAGGTCCCTTTAAAATCTTTCCTCTCTCACCTTAAACCTATGCCCTCTAGTTTTGGTCTTTCACACCCCTAGAAAAGACCTTGGCTATTCACCCTATTTATGCCCCTCATGATTTGGTAAACCTCTATAAGGTCACCCCTCAGCTCTGACGCTTCAGGGAAAATAGCCCCAGCCTATTCAGGCTCTCCCTACAGTTCAAACTCTCCAACCCTGGCAACATCCTTGTAAATCTTTTCTGAACCCTTTCAAGTTTCACAACATCCTTCCAATAGCAGGAAGACCAGAATTGCATGCAGTAATCCAAAAGTGGACCTCAGGACCTTACCATTAAGTGTATAGGTCCTGCTCTGATTTGCCTTTCCAAAACGCAGCACTTCACATTCATTTAAATTAAATTCCATCTGCCACTCCTCAACCCATTGGCCCATCTGTTCATTCTCCTATTATACTCTGAAAACTTGACGTTGATTCTGTTCTCACCATCGTTTCAGGTCGTGCATTCCAGATCAGAACAACACATTGCATAAAATAAGTGCTCCTTGATTTCTTTCTGGTTCTTGAGTCAATAATCAGAGGCAGGAAAATGGGTGAGAAAGCATGGGGAATAGAGCTATAGTCTAAAAATATTACATTCCACATCATTCCCACCTTCATCAGAGGAAGGTTTCGATCCAAGTTGTTTGGAGATGGACTGAACCCAGAGTCCAGCGAGTAGACCTCTAACTCACTATGTGTCACTTTAAGCTGTAAATTCTTCACAAAGCTGTCTTCATAGATAAATATTTGCAGTTAATATACTGTGCAGCCGCATGCTGGAATATATTTTCCAAATAAAAAGTCAGATTACATATACAAAAGTTAAAGGTTCCAAAATTTAGATAAAAGCAGAATTTTTTAACTTCTACCAGGACTTACATAAACTGGACATGGAATTAGTGCCATATGGTCAGCACTACCTCGAGTAATACTTCAGCTCTTTCAAATCTCTTCTATATCTATCCAGATTTGCACTAACTTTTGTTTGATGAGAACTTAATAACTTACATTGGCTCTTTGCCCAGCAATATCTCTAACTTTAAATTCTCATTTTTGTTTTCAATTCTTTCCTTGGTCTTGCTCCACCCCATCTTCAACCTTCTGGAACCTAGAACCCTCTACAATGTCTGGTTCCACCAATTCTGGCCTTTCTGTCATCTCCTGTTTCCGTCAATCCACTATTGGCAGGCACGCCCTCAGCTGTCTGTGCCCTAACCTCTGAAATTCCTCTCTTGACATCTCCTACCTTTCAGATACTTCTTATCCCTTTGGTTAAACTTTGTCCTAATATCCCCTGAAGTGCCCTGATGTGAGATACTGTCTGACAATGTCTTGTGAAAGAGATGAGGCTTTTTGCTCCCTTGAAAATGTATGTTGTTGTTGTTATATTCATTGGGAACTCATTACTCTTTGCAACATAAACACAGAAGATAGGAGCTGGCCACTCTGCATTCATAATGATCATCCAACTCAGTAGCCTGTTCCTGATTTTCCACCATAATCTTTGATTCCTTTAGCCCCAAGTGCTGTATCTATGCCTTCTGGAAATCATTCAACAATTTGGCCTCGACAACTTTCAGTGAATTTGACTGGCTCAACACTCTATCTCATTTCTCCACATCTCAGTCGTAAGTGTTTTACCTTGTTTTCTTAGACTGTGACCCTTGATTCTGGACTTCCCGGCCACAAGGAACATCCTTCCTCCATCTACCCTGTCTAGTCCTGTTAGAATTTTATAGCTTTCTATGACAGTCCACCCTCATTCTTCTGAACTCCAGTGAACATACTCCTAACTGATTCAACCTCTCCTTATTCACTGATCCCGCCATCCTAGGAATCAGTCTGGTAAACCTTCCCTGCACTTTGCCTGGAAGAAGAACATCCTCCCTTGGATAAGGAGACCAACATAGCACACAAAATTCCAGGTGTGGTCTCACCAAATCCCCGTCTAATTGCAGCAAGACATCCCTGCTGCTGTACTCCAATCCTCTCGCTAGGAACACCAAGAGACCATACATTTCCCTTCTTTATGGCCTGCTGCACCTGCAAGCTTACCTTCAGCTACCTGCGTGCACGAGGATAGTCAGATCTCACTGCACATTCCCTTCTGTCAATTCATAACCATATCTGTGAAAAATCAATATAGATATTTAATTTGCTATTCTACAATAATAATAGTAAATATTGTATCATCTGATCCTTCTGTTGCTAATGGTCCTAGTTTTGTGCACACTTCCTGTCCCTTTTTTTGTCATTATATGTTCCCATGTCCACATTTAAAATGGGAAGTGCCTATGTAGGCAGCCACACAATAATTATAACCATCCACCTGTGAAGGTCCTACAATGTCATCACCAATACGACATGGCAAGATTTCAAACTCAGTTTTCATTATACATGTGGATATAGAGATTTATAATGTAAATTCAATATTCTGATCCATTTGTCCCCACCACCAAACTTTATATTATCCAGTTGCTGCGCTTGATCTCTATTTTCCGTGCACAAAGCAAAAGGAGATTGAATATTCTACAATATTTGTGCAAAATTCAAACATCTGTATTCGTCAAAGAAATCTCTAAGTTTCCCAATGATTGACTTTTATACAGTGCCTTTTATTACCTCAGCACAATGGCCAATGGACTACTTGAGACATTACTGCTGTTAACATAAGGAAACACCGTACCCAGCAAAACACCACAAATGAGATACAGCAATTGTATCAAAAGAGATGGTGGCTGAGGGATAAATAT